AATAATTAAAAAAAGTATATATATATATATTTACAATACACCCTCTCAAATCTGATATGCATGGTGGACAACTTTTGTATCAGTTTTGAGAGATTATCAGATTTAAAAATTGATTTAAAACACCAATAACCTGCTATCACATGATCACAAATAAATATAATTAGCTGGATTATATTCCTTATATATAATCTGTTTCACAAACCCCGATCTTAGCCAATCAAATCAATTTATATTGCCTGTCAAAACTGATATCTTATAGATATCTGGTCCTTTGGGTATCGATTATCAGAAATGGCAAGTTGTCGGGTTTTAATTATGGAACAGTTATGGTAGATCAATTTTTCATCGGTTATAGCAGGTTATTAGGTTTGACAGGATTGGTTTTGGGAGAGTGTATTGTAATTAACTTTTTATAAATATTATAATACAACTTTTCTTGCAGATCACTTTACCAAAATAGAAACAAGAAGAAAAAATTTTCCTGCAGCTATATCTTTAAAATTTACTAAGTAACTTGAGATCTGGCTCTTAAGTAAAGTTATCCAGCATCTCTGAATTTATTTAAAAAAAATGCAATTTTGGAAAAAGAATAACTTGTTTATGAGAAAAAGACAAAAAACACTAAAATAGATTGAAAACCAATTTTTTCATCATTCTGTGAAAGCAGTTCTAAAGACTACTCATACTCTACTAATATAAAACAAACTAACAGCCCTACTTTACACAAAAATAACATTAAACAAGAATTATTAAGCTCTCTTCAGTTCCAAACTCAACACAAAACTATGATCTCTGAAAGCTCTAAGGAATTTTTTCTTACTGGCACAGGCTAGCAGAACAAAAAGAGACCTACTTAGACAACACCTACGTTTCCAGCTTCAGAACACACCAAAAAATTTGTCAATATTACTATTAGAAACTGGACCAAACTTATCTTTACTGTTAACTTTTCTATTCAAAAGTACGCTGCCAACTTCCTTTTCTATAGTGATATTACCAAATCTGACAAGATACACAACTTGGTTAATTACCCTTCTCAATGGATATGTGAACATGAAGACCCAAGCCAATCAGTTTTCTTTGACCTATCTTCATCCAAAAACAACATAGTTGATATCAATGCCAAGCAGCTAAAACCTGTATACAATGTTGATATGACAACAATTACAAAGACATACTACAATAGTATGAAAACCTTATATGAAAGCAAAACAGACAGCTGATCTTTATCTTATCCCATACAATGATATAACTAACCTCGAATCAGACAACACACCTAATAAAAGCACCAGTAGAACCACTACACCTAAAACAAATTTAGCCAAGACTGCATCTACACCAATAAATACAGATATTATTATTAGCACAACAGCACCCAATGCATCTTTGGTTACACAGCACTATACTACCAATCTCGTACCTAGACTTTCTACACTCCTGAGTCAAATTACATCAGCCTTGGTATCTGTCACCTGACGAAATCACCTCTCTTACTTGTAGCCATTACTAATAGAAAGTGAGCCAGAAATATCACGCCTCTTACTACCATCTCCAACAAGACCAACAAGACTACTACTAACAGTGCACCAGCTCCATTTAAGCCTTTCTATAGCCAGATCACCAAAACTAATATTGCCTTATTTATGTTTGATACTCCAGATAATATAGAATTTGCACAAGTGATAACAAGCAAGATTCCAAAGCCTACCAATGCCCTATTTGACACCAACACCTAGACATATGATGCTATTGCATAAGCACTCACCACAGCAGTAAAAATTTACCATCTGTCAGCTACAAGCTAGCTACCAACCAAACCCAATACATCCTACCTAATGCTATCTAGCTCAAATTTATCTATTGTGATACCCAGTTTTTCACCACTTTTACTCGAAACCCTAAAACTACACCTGTACATCAAAGAATTCAACACATTATTCAACAAAGCTCTCTCAACCTACAAAGAAAACAACAACATCACTATAACTGACCAAGCAACACACAATACTATTAACTCTATACTAAGAAAAATGCTTATCACTCAACATTTATCTAACATCAATACTACAAGAGCCACTCTGAAATCTATATACAAGGCAATTCGTTATGCAAGAGGATTTTTAAGAATTCCTAATGAAAATAAAAACACATCTAAAGATATTAAAGCAAAGATCAACAGAGCTTTTGAGGACAAATTAGAACAACTTCCAGATCACTCAAATAAAATTCTTTCTAAAATCCAAAATATCTTGCCTTTTACTCTCCTCATTAAACAGAAATCACAGACTAGAGTGATTGTTAATGCATTAAGAAAGCTTTACAAATTCTCTAAACTCCCATTTACATACTTTGCTATACTACCAGCACTTCCTGCTAACTACAATAGCCTCTCTGATCAATTACGCAAACTCTTTTCTATCTCTCATAGGTCAGCTCTGCAATACTTGGGTGTCTACAAGAAAAAGCTAGCTGATTACTACATGGTAGTACAAATTTCAAATAGCTACTTTGATCTTTCATCTCCTAAGCAGCCATACTCACAACCTACCAGAAGCTAAACCCAAAAGTCCATAGCCTTTTCCTTTATAACCCAGCTACCTTTTCCTTAATATTAGAGCAAGTAGTAACTCAAGTTAGAGAGTATTACATATTCAAACTTCTACCAAATGACTATTTTGTTACCAAGCCACTTCTTCCAACAAACCCCAGTAAAATCCGTACAAGTACTCAATTTTCATTTCCAATCATAAGTGATATAGAGGCCAAGAAATTCATTTAACAAATTACACCACTATATAGATTTAGATTCCCATTATCTACAGATACTACAAGCAAATCCACTGTTGTGAAACAGGTTTTCATAGATTAGCTTAGTATAGCACATAATTTAGATTTCATATTTTGTATTATTTAACTTATATTTATTAGCTTATATTTCATATTGGATATTTATTATTATATTTGTATTATATATTATTATTGGTATAAGAGTTAACAGAGACTTTATTAAGTAAAATATTAGAGTAGAGCCACTGTGGCACATACTGTGACTAAAATAGACAAGGTAGTATCAAAGACAATACATGGTCTTCAATTCCCTTAACACGGCCCTCAAGTCCCTCAAGTCTCTTAACTCTCTCAACACAGCCTTCAATTCTCTCAACACAGCCCTCAAGTCCCTCAAGTCCCTCAACTCCCTCAACACGGCCTTCAACTCCCTCAACACGGCCCTCAACTTCTTCTACTACCTTGGCTTGGCATGTAAAAAATATATAAAGAGTGTATTTGCTCTTCTGCTCAGTTTAGAGTTCATACCCCTCTTATAGCATTAGATACTTCTCTTATTCCCTCTTGTAAAGTGTAATATTTCCCCTTTAGGGTAATTCTTACAGGCAAGGCTTATTATCATCTCTTATTTTAATAAAGTTATATACTATTACTATCTCAAATCATCTGCCTCCTACTAGTGAAGTAATCCAACTCTTCACTTCTACCCCATGTATATTCATAAAGTATATCACTGCACTGGGTGACCTTGTTACTGTGCTATATTGGTACTTAGAAGGCTATAGCATTGTAATATTTTGGTGCCTCCTAGTGAAAATCTCATTGGAAACTATCCCAGAAACACTAAAACTGTCTTTAGAAAGGAAGTAAATCTAAACCCCAACTGTTCTTAGGAAAATAATCAAGAAAAAACTCTAGCAGAAAACTGTGAAATTATAGCAAATTCTACTAAGGCTACTGGAACCCTTCATCTTGGATTATATATTACTAGCTAATTTATTGCAGGATTGGCTCTTTAAAAAGAAAGCAATTTGTTTGGTATAATCTTCTTTAATTGATTTATTATTATTATTATTATTATTATTTTATTTTATACTTGGAGAGTTTATGCTTTGATCTCTTGCAAGTCTGCCAGCTTATTGTATTGAATAGCTATAAATTGTATTAATTGTATTGAATTGTTTAAACTGTTTTGACATCATTTATTTTGTTTAATTATTATTTCTTTTATTCTTTCTTTGCGTGCATATTATTTTATTAATTATATTTATTGGCCAAATCATTATTTTATTTTATTTTATTTTATTTATCTCTATTACTAACATTATCTCTGGAAGATAATTTTGTTAATTCTTATGACAGATACTCTCTCAACGTTTTATCAAAACAATATCGACTTACACCAACTCGAACATATTAACCCAACAGCTGCTGCTGTTGAAGTATTACAAGCTTATTCTCCTGATTTATTGTGTAAACTGTGCTATCCTTCTCAACGTATAGCTACTCTTTCAAATTTTGGTAACTTTTGGAATTGGTATTCTAGAACTTATAATGCTGCATCTTATAGTTCAGTTACTGAGCAAAGTTTTAGAAATTTACATACTGTTAACCGAAAACTTGCTTGCTTTGCTGCATGTGATATTATTTTTAGTTGCAGATATAGTGATAATATACCAGCTCCTCGTTCTGTAATTTCTATTTTATTTTGACGTTTTACTTCATATACTAACATTCTACAGATTGAAGAAGTGGATCAAAATCACTATGATATATATATTGATCACCCTAATAATTCTTCTTTACCTATTTAACATATTCAATATTCTGAGAAATTAGGATCAACTTCTCAACACTTAGAACATACTAACTGCTCTATTCAAGTTACTACATTTTCACCTGATACTACTACAATTTTTGAATCTGATACTGAACAACAATTTTATCAATCTGCTGAAATTCCTAAAGATATAACTAACAATCAATTTCCTACACTAACTACTGAGTTCTCTTTTTCTTCAAATAGTACTAATCTTTTAGAAGCTGATTTTTATACTCCTACTCCCAGTCCTATAATTCCTCCTACTGATTTAATTAACCAAAAGACAGATACTAATAGTATTGATAAATTAGTACTATCTGGAGCTCCTCCTTCTTATCTAACTGAGGAACAAGAACAAATTCGCTCTTCAACCCCAGAAACTATTTTCAACATGGAGCAAGGAAATTTATTCGATAGTGACAACAACCAAGTTGAATATATTCCTATATACCTGACTATAGACAATACTCCTATTGTTAATTATTGGGAAGTAGACTAACCCCAAGATAGGACTGAAATTGACTCTTGGAACCCTGCAACAGGCCCACAATTTCGACAAGTTCCACTTCTTGAAGATACTGTATTAAAACTTCCTGGAGGTTTTCCTAGCCTACAAACTTGGGATCACAATCAAAGTCGACCTACTTCACCTACAGGCTCCAACCATACTCAAGTCTATACCGTTGATTATACAACTTTATTTGCTAATAATGAGTTTGCAGGTGATAACAAATCGGAAACAACCGAATCATCTGAAGAAGAATCATCTATAGCAAAATTATTTAAAGAAGTAGAATCCTCTGAAGAAGAATCATCTGAATCAGAATCAAGTAGTGAAGAAGAAGATATAGCTGCAAATCTAAATACTGCTGTACAAGCTATGGCTTGGCTTGCTCAAGCACTTGAACTAGGAGGTAATAGTGAAAAGAATCTTATTAAAATTGAATTTTTTAAAGGTGATGGAATCCAAGATCCTATTAACTGGCTTGATGAATTCGAATGTGCCATTAAAGCTAATAATTGGAATAACTTGCTTTGGCTAAAGCATATATAAAAGGAATTGCCAAAGAATGAGTTAAAGGATTTACTAATACAACGATGATAGCCTACGATGGTCCTGCAGATACTAGTTTTAAACCTCTCTTCAAAACCAGGTTTAGTAATAATAAACAAAAAGCTTTGTGGCAACAAAGTTTCTTTGAGTAAAACAAAGAACTGATACCATAGATGCCTATGTTGCAAAATTCAAGAATTTAAAAGATAAAATTATTACACTACCAGAAGCTTTTCTTATCCAACATTTTATTAAAGGATTACGCTCTGAACTTGCTATGCCTGTACAAGCCACCAATAGAGACACTTTGGATGGAGTTATTGAAACTGCTAAACAATAGGAAGCAGAAAGATTGGTTGCATCTACTAATACCGACACTACCAAGGCTATTACTCAACTTACTGACCAAATTGCTAAACTCAGTATCAACCTCGCCCAACAACAACAACAACAAACTGCATATACTGTTGAAACAGCAAATAGCCAAAAAGAAAAAGATATTTGTCATTATTGTGGAAAATATGGTCATTATCAAAAGGACTGCAATGCCAGAAAAGCTGAAGTTAGACAAAATAACAATTTTAGAAATAACAACAATAGAAACAACAACAGAAACAACAACTATCACTTAAACAACAATAATAACTACAATAATAACCGTTATAACAACAATGACAACTACAACAATAATTGGTCTAATAATTGTCGCAGCTGATACTAAAATTTGGGGTCTCTATTTAAATCTATAATATCTACTAAAATTTACATATACTTTTTTATTAATAAAACTACCCTACTAACCCTAACCTAACTATGAAAAAAAAGTGTAAAAAAAAGGCCCAAAAATTTTTTATAATTTTATAATAAAATATGAAAAAATTTCAGCATCAGCTATTTTCAGCTATTTTCAGCATCAGCTGCGACAATAATTATTAAAGGGATAGAAGTAGATCTCAAAATCAAAGTAGAAGTAGAGATAGAAACTATTCCCAAAACTACTTTCAAAATAGAAGCAGGTCTAGGGACTGAAGTCAAGAAAGATAGAGACCCAGATCCACTCGCTCACCCTCACCCTACTACCAATAAACATGGCTGAAAAATCTAACTCAACTTCTACTCCACCTAAAAACTGAGAAAGACTTTTGGACAACTGTTCTATTCGAACTGCACTTACTGTCTATATTACTGAAACAAATCGTGAAATTATTAAACCAGAATCTACCAATAATATTACTCCTGTTAAATGTTGTGTAGATATTAAGGATCAAACTTATCCAGCTATTATTGATAGTGGCGCATCTGTGAGTATGATTGCCTACAAAACTGTAAAGGAATTAGGTCTTAAAATTGATGAACCATCACAAAGTTTAATCATTGCTACCACTGGAACTACATCAAGACCCTTGGGAATCATCCGTAATTTATCTGTGAAAATCTAAGAAAGAACTATCCCAATTGATATGGAAGTAGTACCTGCTACTTCTTACTCTCTACAGTTAGGAAATGACTGGTCTAGAAAGGTCAAAGCTAGTTATAATTGGAAAACATGCTAATATACAATGTATTGGAAAGAAAAGAAAATTGTTTTGGATACTTTCTATGAACAAGAACAACAAAAAAAGAAACAGCCAACATGTATTACTCCTGAGGATTATGAATTATACAAGGAAGAATATTTGACACCACATGAGGCCTATACATCTTCTCTTCTTGAAGAGAAAGAAGGATGGACTACTTACCAACCTTGTCTTAGAAATCAATCTCGCTCTAGAATTTCAAAACCTTGCAACACTTGTGGCTTAAGGACATATCCATTTATGAACTGTTCTTACAATGAATATTACTATTGTCATGAGAAAGAACATATTGCTAGAAATTGCTGTAATAAGCAAAACAAAAGAGCTAATTGTAAAAATTGTGGACAAACTGATTATTTGTTTAAAGACTGTCCTCAAAATCTATGTTTTGGATGCAGACAAATTAGACACATAGAAATTAATTGTCCATTAGCTCAATGTAAATTGGATAATCTAACCTACCATTGTGGATGTGATCGAACCTAGGTAGAAGCCAAAAGACTTGTCCATTTTAGTAAAAGAAGAACCCACCATTGTTGTAAATACTATACTTTGCAACAATCTGATAAATTGCATCTTTATGATAACCAACTTATATGCACTGGCTGCTACAAAGCTTTCTACCAAAGCTTGGAATTGGATGACCCCCAAAGTCAAGAATATTATCAAACTGAGTTGGGAAGAGGAATACTTACTAACTGCAAGATTTGTAACTGCCAACGACCAAGATCCAAAATGCATTGTTTGGAAAGCATTAGAGAAGAACTGTGGTTCTGTGAATTGGAGCATATGTATGCCTACAAGATATGTCAAGACTTACAATATAATCCAAATTACGAGATTTGGACAAGGATTAGACACTATACAGAATCTACTCGTAATGATGGATACCAATATAACCTAAACCAAAGCAGAATCTATCGAATTACTCAAGCTCTATTGAGAAACGGATCTTAAGCAGAAATTTCAAGATTAATGCAAGAACAAGACACTGACCAATATAACTGTGATTGGACCTCTGAAGAAATTACTGTTCTCCTTAGATCAGATCTTGAACAACATCAGCAAAAATATATATGCGTAAACTTTCGTAAGTTTTTACGGTGCGTAAGAAAATCATAAACCTACGTAAAATTTAGCGTAAAACTACGTAAATCTTACGGTGCGTAAGAAAATCGTAAATTTACGTAAAAATT